AAAAGCAAATTTGTTACCTGATGTGCAATGAGCCAATTCCCACACACATAAGAGAGATATTTCTTCTAATTTGGGCCCAGGTGCTGGAAAGTTGAACGTTTTGAGAAATCAAAGACAATAACAAAAATTTCCTCACTGAATTTGTACATTTAATTCCCATATATTGAATCTACCTAATGCAGAAGGAACACCTACACATTAATAACGTTAAACAATCACAATAATCTATCCCCCTTTTGGGGGTTGGATTTTGGGTTTTACAACTATCTCTTGTTGATTTCTTTTGCTAAACTAATATATTGATTCTTAAACCAGTGTACTAATTCCTATTGCTGAACAAATGAACCAATCATGGTGGAATGTTCTTTCCTTTAGGTTCAGCGTCTTCGCTTCTTCTTCAGTAACCCATTTGGTCAGACATTTCCCACCCTAGTATGGAAGTGGAGCAATCTCCACTTTCATGTGGTCTTATGTTCAGGGTTCGTGTTTTCCCTCTAGTTCAACTGCCTTTCACTGGATTTATGTCCCAGTCTCAGGAGGAAGCCTAGAAGGGAAAACTAACTCCTTCAGTAGCAGCAGTTATTCCTTAGGGAATTACAAATGCCTCAGCTGTTTGTTTGGGTTCACCTCGGAACATTTTGGACTCAGTCCTCCAGGGTAAGTACTTGTTTCTCCAGCCAAAACCCTGACTCTGTCTCTTTCTTCCTCAAAAATGATGTCAAACTGACTGGTGCAGTTGACATGCTAGAGGGAAGGGATGCCATCTAGAGGGACCTGGACAGGCTTGCGAGGTGAGCCCATGCTAACCTCATGAAGTTCAACAAGGCCAAGTTCAAGGTCCTGCATCTGGGTTGGGGCAGTCCAAGCACAGAGACAGGTTGGGTGGAGAATGGCTTGAGAGCAGTCCTGAGGAGAAGGATTTGGGAGTGCTGATTGATGAGAGATTCAACATGAGCTGGCAATATGCACTTGCAGTAAAGAAAGCCAACTGTATCCTGAGTTGCATCAAAATAAGTGTGATCAACAGGTCGATGGAGGTGAATCTACCCCTTAATTCTGCTCTCATGAGACCCCATCTGGAATACTGTGTCCAGTTCTGGAGCCCCCAGCAGAAGAAGAACATGGAGATGTTGGAGCAGATCCAGAGGAGGACCTCAAAGATGATCAGAGAGTTGGAGCACCTGCACTCTGAGGACAGCTCTGAGAGAGCTGTGGTTCTTCTGCCTGGAGATGAGAAGGCTCCAAAGAAACATAATAGTGGCTTTCAAGTACCTGAAGGGAGCCTATAGGAAACTTGGGAAGGAACTTTTTATAAGGGAAGGTAGCTACAGGACAAGGGGAAACGGTTTTAAACTGGAAGAGGGTAGATTTAGACTAGATATTAGGAAGAAATTCTTTACTGTGAGGGTGGTGAGACACTGGAACAGGTTGGCCGGTTGTGAATGTCCCCTCCCTAGAAGTATTCAAGTCCTCCTGAGCCTGGGACTTAATTCCAGGGAAGGGCAGTTGAACTAGAGGAAAAACACAAACCCTGAATGTAAGACCACATGAAAGTGGAGATTACCTCACCTCCATGCTAGAGTAGGAAATGTCTGCTTTGAGCAACCTGGTCTAGGGAGAGGTATACCTGCCTATACCAGGGTGGTTGGCACTAGATTATCTTAAAGGTCCCTTTCAACCCAAACCATTCTATGATTCTATGAAAAAAGCAAGAGATATGCTGGGACTCATTGACATAATGTACATTACCTTCATCCTTAATGCTTTCCTCATAAAACTCTGGTAATAATGGGGCATTGGCACTGAGTATCCTTCCTGTCTACATGAGGCCAACATCCTGATCTCTTTCTTTTAATCTGTAGGATACATATTTTTGAAAGAGAGGAGATTAGATATACATAAACATTGAGGCCAACAGAGCTCCCAGTCCAGGCAAAGAATGTGGTAATATGATCAGCATATGTTGATTTAGGACAATTCTGACCAATGTACTTTCTAAGCAAAAACAAAGAGTGACATGAGCATGGTGACATCCTCCAACCACACCAGCCCAAGGACCACACCTGCCCATCTGCTGGGACTGAGCACTATGTCTGGGATCCAGACTATCTGTCAAGGCTAGGGAACGTTGCTGCTGGAGGGTAAGAAATACAGGACAGGGTATGTGTGCAGAAATCTGCCCAGTCTTCACCCAGTAGAGCTGATGAGAGAGAGATGTTTAATTCCAGGATAGGATACGTGTAGAAAAGAGAGTGGGTACATACTGTGATAGACATTCTTGTTTACACAGAAACATCTTCATGACACTTCTGCATGCAAAGCACCATCTCAGCTAATGCACAGGATCATGTTTTGTGGACTTCCCTCCTGTGTGACCCTTACCTGTGTGACTATGAAGTTCTACTGCTGCTGTTCAGCTTCCTCCCGGTGGTGTGTGTGAATCAGACAATATCTTACCCAGAGAGTTGGTATCAATCTCTGGCTGTTTTGGTCATGAGCACTCTGAACATTCTCCATGATGATTTAAGCAGGTTAAATATTGTCACTCATTCAAAGGTAGTGATCAAGATTTCCCATCACGTAATTTTTCAAAGTCAGCACAGCATGGACCCACAAAGGTGTGGCTGTGCAGGAGACTTCCTTTGTGAAGAACAGGCTCCCTCTGTTTCCAGGAAGGAGCAGGCTGGGCAAAGCATAGGTATAAAATGGAAGTCTATGTGTCCGAACTACTAGCCCTGCCCATTTTCTTTAGGAGAGTATGGAGTGAATTAGATAGTCCAGAAGAAAAAAAAAATGTTAGAGAGCTGGAACATGGATAGGGAAAGTAAAGAGGTGTGGTGAGAAGTTCTTATGGTTTTATGATTTTTGTTATTGATATTCCACATCATAACATCATATAGTGCACTGGGAGTTGAAGAGTTAATGCTCTTCCATGGAGTTCCATGGATTGTCAGTAGTTCTGAGTACCTGTCTCAGAAGAGAAGAACAAACTACAGCTCCTAGAAGACTTCTCTGTTCTGTTTCTGTTTTCCATTCAGAGGGAAATATAAAGCTGACTGGGAGTCATGAGACTTTTCTCTTTTTTTTCGGCCCATCTCCCTACCCTTTCTCTACCCCCGTCCCCCTTTTCTCAGGGCATGCATCTGTGGGTCCCTTTGTCCCATCAGTCACAGAACTAAGATGAACTGGGCCAGAACCTTGACAGAGGTCAAAAGAGGCCGGAAAACAAAGAGGGAGTAGATTTAAGTGAGGACTGAAGGGAGGGAGAAAGAAGAGGGGAAGCAAAGTATATTGTATGGATTGACATAAGTGAATATAATGTAAATGAGAGTAAACAAAGAAGGAAGCAAGAAATGAAAGCAGGAAAGAGTCTGAGAAAGAAGGGAAGGCTAAGTAGTAGAGACAGCGATATGTAAAATGGTATTGTCCTGCAACTTTGTGCAGTGCAGATGAGGAGGATAGTAGGCCCATTTTGTTCCAGATCTAGCTACTCTTCCTCATTCTTGACACAGCAGTATGTGCCAGAATCACTGAGAAAAGCATGCTTCATCAAGGTCTTCTACCTCCTTGAATCTCTCTGCTCTTGAAGTGGCATTGAAATTCCTCAGCATTTGTTTTACCACTTTCTATTGTAATAGCCACTAAGATCAGCCTGGAGTCATTCCCCTAAGGCAGCTTGTATTACTACATAGTTGTTCTGGGAGATTTCATCTTGAGGCTGCTGAGATTCACAGACTGGCATTGCCATTTGACTGTGTCTGAGGACTGCTCAGAGCCAAAGCTAGAAGGGAAAAGGACAAGTGTCGAGACAAGGGAAAGAAATGAGTTGATACAGAAATTAGGTTGATATGGAAATGAGGGCAGGGCAGGATGTGAATTCAGACAAAATGGAAAAACATGAACTAGGTGAGATGAAAGAAAAAAGGATAAGATATCCTTTCAAAATAATATCTGCTAAGAAGGACTGGTTAAACAAACTTATCTTGCAGGTACATGGCAGGAGACGCTAGCTCAGCACCTGCATGTAAATCTTGTTTGCTTGATAGAACAAAGAGTGGTAGACTTTACGGGATATGAAGATAGTTTTAGCTGGGCAAAACAACAAACACTGAACCCAGAGTTCAATACAAAGTATGTATTGTCATTTGCAATCCAGGAAGAAATCTCTCTAACTCCAATGCAGTGTTAGAAAGCAGTATTCCTATATTCGTCATGATATGTACCAAGTGACACGACAAACAAGTGCATGCATGTTTGTTCAGGTTCTACATATAAACAGTTAAGGCATATAT